AGCTTAAACCATCATAAAGCTTGTATTTTTCATAGAACAGACAACTGAGTAACTTAAAGCAGGTTTCCAGGCATAAATTTGACATGAACTATGAATTAGGAAGAACATTTTTTTTTTCCAGTATATTAATGACCCAGTACAGGCATCCTCAGGAATGCCTGATACCTGTGCCAGGTACCCACCACATTCTGTAGCCTACAAAGTAAATGATTTATTCTACATTAAACTTGAGTATATAACAAAGAGAAGTTTGTATTTCCTCTAAAGCATATGTGAGCTACCCTCTGATTAAGCTAAATTATCTTTCTTCCATAACATAGGAAAGACTCAGTGGCTTGAATCTTACAAGAGAAGTTATAAAGGCATCATATACTGGGTCTGTTCCTCTGAAGGGGCACAAGAGGAAAAAAAAGATCACTGCTTAATAAAAGACTATGGGGGGGGGGGGTGACACTAACTAGCAATAAGTATCTTCTCCCTGAAATTCTACTGTATTTCTAACTCTTCCTTTACAGTGTATCCACTGATTCCAGCAGTCTCATAATTTGATATCTTTCATAAATAAATATATAGTTTCTCTTACAAATTATTAGTAAGAATTTTTACAAGAGTTCAACTGAAGAGAAAGTACCCTCAGGAATCAAATATTTGCATTAATATTAAACATAATCAACATTATTCATGCCACTTGCCAGGAAGACTCAAATAAGCTACATCACTTGAATGTAAAACTCWCCTCCCAAATCAAATTGTACCTTCACTGTTCTTCAAGCAAGCAATCTCAAGGTAAGTAGCCACTATGAGCATTTAGCTATAGCTGTTAAACATACAGTCTTTACTCTGCTCAAAACACAGCAAGCAGAAACRCGAGTTTGGTTTGCCACTGCTCTGGGTGCCATCCCTTGCAATGCAACCTAATGCACCCATATTTATTGTGAACATTGGAAGAGGTGCAGGCTAAGCTCTGGAGAAGACACAACCACCTTCCCAGGTTCAAAGGTCATGGAATAGAAACAGCCCTTGCTCCTCCTTCCTCTTATTGGTTTGAGTCCTGTGGTTCAGAAAAAGTCCAGTCTGATCTTAATCCAAAAGCACTCATTGCCATTACATAAGATGAAACTTCTTCTCATGCTCTCTGTGCCTTTCCCTGGCACCCAACTTCTTGCAACATGTGTCTTGGCAGCTCCATCACAATAGAGTAAAACCTGATGCAGCCTCTTCTCAGCTKCCCCTGTTGTCTAAATGATAAATGAAACTTATCTCCACAATGCAGGGAAAAAAATAATCAGAACTGGACAGCCAGAACAAACCCATCCTCCTTTCTTAAGGACTGCTACAAAATACCTTTGGACTGGGAAGACTTTCCACAGAAAAAGACAGCTCAAAACACAGGCCATAAGTTCACAGCATCTTCTTTCCTTCCCTTTTCTGCTTTCCTTTGGCATAAGGCACTTTATTCTTTCTATCTTCCAACTCTTCTAACTTCCAATAATTTCCTCCTTTACTCCACTCTTCTTACAGTACTCCTACATTRCGCTAACATCCACTAAGATGTGAGTGATCAAGCACACTTAAAATAATGAAAATATACTACCTAGGAGATGATCAATTCTATATGCAAAAAATATGTTTAATTCTTAAAACAGACACATATTTGCACAGACGGACCCATGATAAAGCCAAGCAGAGACAATGGTTTCAGCAAGATGTTCATGACATCTAGCACTGAGACCAGCCATGAATATATAGATGCATAATTATGAGGAGTTTCCAAATACAGCTGCCATTTAAACACATACAGCTGTATATTAYTTGTGTTTACATTGTCAACACTTAATCAATTCCTTCCCTTTGCATGCTGCTCTTACAGGCCTCTGCAAGACTGCTGCAGCTTTATAGGGCAGAGCAGAATTGTTAGAAGATGAAACTTCTGTCAGTTATTGCTCYAATTAATCTGCTGGAGCCTCATCCAGCCCATTTAACCACCATTTATCACTATTCTTTGTTTGTCCATCCTTGGGGCAGCTTGTGACAGTCCTGTGACAGTCCAAGTGGGGAGCCCATCCAATCACTTTCAAGTATTGGTATGACTGGCTGTGCTTGCTTTGCAAACCTCTCTCATTTGTATATATTTTTCACAATCTCTCATCAGCTTTATCAATATTTTTCTTTAGTTTAAAAAGAGCCAGAATAAGAACTGTAGAAACAACAAGGGGAGTTGAAGATTCTATAATTTAAAAACTTTCCCTACATGGTTTCTATGGAAAACTAAAAGGCTATGAAGTTAGCCTTTGCCTCTGTATAGAGGGCTGGGCTACGTTGTTATGTTCATGTAAGTCATGACTGGTAAATTCAGTGAGATAAACACAAGCAGCAGCCTTGTGCCCCTTGAAATTTCATACTATGTCTCTGAATGAAGAAGCAACCTTGAGCTAGTCTTCAATACCAGCACTGTCTTTGCATTTATCCTTACAGTATTTGCAAAAACAGCAGGCACTTGAGCTGTACTATTTGTAATGATACAACACTTCAAAATGAGCTCTTCATAAATATTTGAATGTCCAAAGGACCAGGCTAGTCCTGCTTCTCATCTGTCTTAATGACTACTTGAACTGACTCAAAGKTTTTTGCACAAGGGCAGAGCAAGCGGGGAAGAGAAAAGGAGACAGGGAAATCCATCCCTGAAAACTGTATACTCTTGGAAGAAACTACAATGGACACAGTAAGTCAGTCTGCACACAGACCTGTGGAAATATAAAAGTTGCTCTCATATATAACAGGAAGCAATCCAAGAAGTACAATAATGTTCTCAGGCAAAGTTCAAAGCTAGTTTCATAAAATAAGAAATGGATGGATTTTTGTGAAGAGTAGCCTAGCCCAAGAGACTGTTAGATATAGAAGGAAGTATCMTTTGATGCCTTATCTAAACTTCAGTTTAATAGTCAGAGGAATGAAAACCACACATTTCAGCTGCTCTGTTTTCTAAGTGCATGCCTCCAAAGTGTTTTTTTAAAAGGCTTTCAATTTGGATAACAGTGGCTTGTGTTTTCAATAGTTGTCTTGAGAGGTCTCTGGCCTCAAATTAGGTTATGCCTTGCCCTAAAGTGTATGTGTAGGGGCAAAGCAGTGTCTATGCCTCAGCTGTACTACTGAATCCAATTACTGCATCTTAAAAGGCAGCCGTGTTACTAATTCAGTCCAAATATTGACTGACAAATCGGGACCAGTGTCCTGATGACCTTCTGGAGGTTTACTCATCTCTAAAGTGGAAGTTCAGTGTTTTAAGTTTAAAGAATGTTATTGTTTTACAAAAAAAAAGGCACTTTTATATGTTCATACTTAGCACTGTTACTACTAATTATAGCTTCAAAATTTCATTCACTGGAAACATTAACTGCAGGTGCCATAAGTGTGTCACTTTCACATCCTGCCATCTAATTATGGTTACAAGGATCAGAAAGGGGAACAAACCCCTTAAAAGAGGCACACAACCTCATTTGTAAATTTGCTGTCAAATATTCTAAAAAWAATAATAATAATAAAGAACCACACAAATACTTGTCCTAATCTGTACAAAACTGTACAACAGGGTACAACAGGACATTACCATCAGCTGATACATCTCACAGTGCTCACTTGGGGAGGAGGGCAACTTTAAAAAGGCATTGCATTTTTACAGAAGTAAAAGCTCAAATTACTTGCAGGGCAAAGCCCAAAGCCTTAGGTCTAGTTTTAAGGCTTTTTTTTTTTTTCCTTGCTAAATAAAAACAAAGAAGCTGTGAGAGTGACAGAGCCCTGGGAAAGGTCACCCAAAGGGACTGCAGTGCCACCATCCTCAGAGATATTCCAAACCACCCGGCCACAGTCCTGGGCGACCTGCTCTGACTCGACCCTAGATCACCTGGTCTAACCTCCCAGCACAAACAGGCCCTCCCAACCTCAATTACTCTGTGACTTTCCGATAATAAAAAAAAAAAAATAAATTAAAAAAAAAAAATCAGTGAGCTGATCGACTAATTCAGTCTTTCGAATTGCCACAAGACCAGCTTCTCAGCACATATTTCTGTGCTCATCCTTTACAAGTGAGCAGGCCTTTACGACCTTACGCGAAGCATAACTGTTACATAAGGAGTATATAGAAATTATATCCAAGAAATGTTTCTTAAAGCCTTCCAAAAAACACCAATGAAAATTGCTACTTAGAGGCAATATATATACTACTATTATATATATATTACTTGTATTTTACATACAAATATTGAACTTGAAATAGAAGTTATGTATAAA